AAGAAGCGCGCGGGGGGGGGGGCTCCAGTCTTTCGTAGAGCCAGCTTTTTTTTCTATAGGATGGAAGCACCCCTCTCAATAGGGACTCATTTGCCATGTTGTGTAATTGTGGCACATAATAGAGCACACCTCATTCAAGCAGCCCAAGGCTTTTTCTAAAGCCATTTTCTCCATTCACAGGCAAACAAGTCATGTTTTAGAGAGATATTACGCAGCCTTTTGAGCTCAGGGCCACCACATATTTGCCTTTGAATGGAATGTTTTGTGTAATCAAGATAAAATTTTGTGCTTATTATGAAAAAGGCACTGTCAACCAACTTGATATTTGTCATCTGACTTTTATCCTCGCTGCTCACAGGATGTAAACAAAGTGGCTGACCTTTTCCACCTGGTTTGTCACACATGTTTGTGTAGAGGAGCACTGGCTATTAACAGTCGCTGGTTGCTGAAAGATACTGGCATTGAGGCAACCTGAGCAGGGAATACTACCAGATAAACAATACATGCTTGTTAATCATACGAGAATACTTGCCGTGATTTCTACACGGTCAAACGGATATCAAAGCTGAAGTGCAGAGATGAAAAATGACTGATTTGAAAATTATTGCTGAGCTTTTCCATTAAACCACCGCAGGCTAGGAATGGATGGATATTTGCATAATTTAACTGGCATCTTAATTATTGTGTCAGGAATCTGTATGCAAATGACTTAAGTCACTTAGAAACGGAAACTTACTTGGCTAAATGGCTAATGGACTAAATCTTATCAAGTTAGAATACACAACGTGAGTGTAACCAGAGTCCCTAATTGGGTCTGACTGTGCAGCGAGACAAAAACAGAAACAAAGAAAGAGGACAGGACAGACATAAAACAAGTGAGTTCAAGCTTACCTGGGTTAGCTGGGAGAAAAAAGGCATGTTAGTCGTGTGTGTTTTTTTTCTTTTGGGGCTGTTGAGAAGGACCTACCACGTAAAACAGTGAGTCTGGTGGTAGCGCTCGTCTCTCCAACACTGTTGGAGGCGACGCATTCATATATGGCTTCATCTCGGGGCGTGCGCAATGGCTGAATTCTTAGCACTGAACCAGAGCCGTCGTCGAACTCAATCACCTGCAGGTGCGAGAGACACGATAATGTTAAAGGAGATTTTTTGGTTCACAATGGGTGAGGAACCTTCCGCAGACAAAAAATCAACAACACTGTCGAAGACATTTGGCTAACAACACTGATGGTGATTGACACAATGTGCTTCCTATGACAGAAACAAAAGCTGCTGCCTACCTTACATTCAAGCCAAGTGATTTTGTGTGTATTGTGGTTATGTACTGTACATGTACAAAAAGTAACTTCAGGATCTGTGCAGTATTAAAATGCTTAGAGATAATATGTAGACTGAGAATATAAGTAGTTTAGCGTTTTTGTTGTGGGTATGTACTAGATTAATTTGCTATGTGTTCAGACATGCTGTCTTCTAGTAAATGAGCTAGATCTGATGTATAATTTAACTTATGCAGTAATCGGTAAAATAATCGATGCGGCTGACTAACTTTAAGAATGGGGAAAGTTACCTTGGTCAGAACATTTTCGATATCGGGTTATTGAGTGAATTTTAAATCTGAATGTGTCCCACTCTTAAAGTTAACATTCTATCCCTTAAGAAATGCATCACACTGGATTGTGTCAATGGGACAGAAACAAGCACAAACAGTTATAAGTGGCTTGATAAACGGTTACGGACAGTTGTACCATGAGGTGAGATAGTGGTACAAAAGACAGGACCGACTGTATTAGACGAACGACACATAAAATGCTCACAAACAGGTGTTTGTTGTAGCTTATTCAGCTATTTTTTGCATGCTACATGTTGTATACTCACTGATTTTAGAAAGCCCTGTGTCATAACTCAATCTTTTTTAAGCATAGAGGTAGATTTCAATAAAAATAGGCCTGAGACCTCGACTTCACACACACACGCGCGCGCGCACGCACGCACATACACGCACACACACACAAACATACAGAGGCCTACGAACATTTTTAGAGTTTACAATATATCTGCATGTGTTAGTTAATAAAACACTTCAACGTTTCATTGGCCAAGCGGTACAGCGGTGGTGGCATTCAAGCTTTCAGCAGATGATGGTAAAGAAACAGCCTCCTTTCTTGGTCAAAGCCAAAATAACAAATGAGAAAGGAAGTTGTTAGACTTCTAAAAGGAAATGGGTTTTTGTTAGAGGATGAGGCGGCAGCGCATGATTGAATGGGCACGGAATGGTGGCAGCCAGCAAGCCCTGTGAGGCAACCAGGGAATGAAAACTAGTGTGTTAGCATTCAGCACAACGTGCAATGCAAACGCGATGAACTCTGATAAGATTAGATTTCTGTGGTTATGAGACGCAAAGAAGAGGTGGGAAGAGGTCTCCGAGCTCCGTTAAGCCATTGCTGCTGTGCACTAGCAAGCAAATATGGCATCTAGGAAAAAAAAAAAAAAAAGTGACACCATGATAGTCCCGAGGACTGACACAGAAATTAATAGAAATCTTATCAGTGTTCTGCAATGATGTGTTATTTCTCATGGGTATTGAGCCGCAGATTAAAGCTGACCAGAAATCAAAGCTTCAGCCAAAATAAGGAGGATAGGACATGCATTTAGATAAAGATGCCACAAAGCAAAAGGATATTTCGAAGTGAAAGCGCTGCTGCCCCTTTCACTTTACATAAAGCTGGCAAATGTGGCATGATGCTAATGTAGGTATCTGGGTCACACCACAAGTAGTTTTTTCTTCTATCCAATTACTTTGCTTTTTGTCTTTTATTTAATTACAAATCTGTCCCCAGATCTTTTGTATACTTCCTCATTAAAACGCAAGCATGTTTAAAGGCCTGGCCAGCATGATTATTAGAGCCTGCTAATGCGTGGTGGCAAGTCAGGGCGAAAAGCAAGCGAGTGGGGTGCAATGGATTGTGTGAGCAGAGCCAAAAGCAGTGCAAAAGCAGTGCAGAAGCATTCCAATTTTGTCGAGCATTTTACATCAGAACAATAGACCTAATACCTCAAATCTCTGGTTGCTGACTTTCTTCCCCTTCTTGTTCCACACAATCTTCGGCCGTGGATCTCCTGTAGCTTGGCAGATGAAGGATGCCACCCCTCCTTGCACGCCTGTTTGGTCATTGGGGGTTCTTAAAAACTTTGGTGGTGCTGGAGAAAGACAGAAACAGAATAAAAGATAACACAAATAGTTAGTGAGCATACGAAGCGTCGCAGACAGAGCAATTAATCTCTCTTATCAAGTGGCACACACTAGAAAGTAACAAAGTTGCAGATTTCAGCATGTGGCCATTAAGAGGATTGTCTTTGGAGGTCAAGACAAGACATTCTACTGACTTTACTGTGCAAGTGGAAACAGATGATCAGTTGTTGAGATCAATAAGGACAGAGGTCTCGGGAGCAGAATGCATAAAGCATTTTATCTTGACTCTTTTAGTATTTCTACATAATCTCTTTGATGGATAGCTGACTTTTTAGGGAGTTTTAGGGAGGAATTCTTTGATAAAAGGACACTTTTTGTGGGAAACAAAAGAACGGGTTAAGATCAGTCACTGGAGGCTGGAAATAAAAGATAATACACTTATGTTTTATTTTTTCTGAAATATGGCAAGCCATTTGGGTTTGGATGTCAGTTATTTAGACTGAAAAAGAGTAGCATTTGTGTTGAGTAACTTCTGTAAATAAAAAAGAAAGAAAAAAATGATTGCCTCTTCCTTCTGTGACGGTAAAAAGTGTTATTGTGGTCACTATCCGATACTGTCAAATTTTGTCAATGTGTATTAGGGTACAGAAACTGTTCACAGCACAGCCTACGAAGAAAGCTATGAAGGGAATTTCTTACTGAAATTGTAATATGTAATGAGATGTTTAAGTTGCTAGTAAGTGACTCATTTTTAATAGCGGAGGGGGTTCTTAAAGGAAGGAAAAGTCTTGTATTGATCATCTGCAATTTCTAATTTGTGTGAAAGGATGATTGTCTGTGAACTGGTGCTTTACATGTCATTCAACATACTGTAATCCCCATGGCACTATTTACGTGTTTTTCTACTGGACATAAATCATGTGGCTATCCGTTGTCTCTTGTAACATTTTTCAACAGTTGCAGAGAAACAGAAGCTTGTCTATCGGTTCAGCAACAGACAACACAAATCTCTAGAAAACCACCAATTGGAACGGTAGTTGTGTGCAAATGAGACACGCACCTGATAAGGTTCTCGCAATGCTCTGATCAGTGATGTGAGCATTCTGTTGCTCCTAATTGGTCCCTCAATTCAGCACAACAAGTCAAGTGTAAAGGCAATCAGGATAAAAATGTTAAAAATGCAGGCGAGTGGAGGTGAGAGAATAGTGGAACAGTGTTTGCTTTGTGTGGACATGGCATAGACGTTCCCATCTACTGTGGCAGTTTTACAACACTGTAAAATAGCATTTACTCAGCCTCTAATAGTGAAGGGAGCTGCAGCCCTGTTCCTGCAGTTTGATTTTTAGAATTACAGTTTGTCAAGTAAAATCATTCCCCAGTATAATTCAGACTTTGTCAGCCATTCCAACAATTCTGTTTACTTTCAATTCCATGAACTGAGTTCTGTTTTGCCTTTTTCCCCCCCCCACCCAGACAATCAGTTTCTGCTCCCGAGCTGACGTTTCTATTACAACCGCTGAAAAATCACATGAAAGTGATAAGTAATCAAAGGAACCCGTCTCTCCCTGATGAGATTTTGATTGTGAGATTTACATTCCAGCTTTATCATGATGATCAAGTCTAATTTCAATAGCAATAATGTCATAGTGCTAAGTCAGGCCTCCTCGGAGATTTTCCTCTGGAGCTTGAGTGCCAGCTTTAGTGGGAGGTGTAGCTCCATCTGTCCCCCTGCGGAGCAACTGTTTGCCTTTTATCAATCACTTCAGCAGGCCATTAGGGGCCACACAGCTGCAGTAATGCCAACCATCTGAATCACCTCATCTGTGTGTGTGAGAATGTGTGATTGTGCTTGTTCGTGTGCCTGTGAGCAAACTGATTTCCCCTCTCAGATTGTACTGCCCAGCAGCAGCGGCGGCGGCACTGCGAGTGAGGGACAAATTAACCTGCAGGATTCGTGGAGAGGTGACATAAGATGTGTGGTCAGCAATCAAAAGGGCGAACAGATAAACAGGCAAGCAGCTGGGCTTCCACTGGGCAAATGAGTCTGGGAAATCACCTGATTGCCTCATGACATACACATGGTGTTGCGTACACGCAGACATTAACAAACCCACACCTACACACTTTTTAGAATCTCTCTCTCATTCACAGGCTGACAGATCCGACAGGTGGGCAGCAGAGTTGACACTGTGTAATTTGTACGCGGCAAAAAGCACCATTATATCTGCATTTGCACCTTATCTCATTGACTTGGCTGGGGTGTGGTGCACATTGGTATCCAGCCAAGAGGGTGCTGATGGGTAATTGATATGCTATTGGGGCTGTTTTTCGCTCCAGGGCCATCCATTACGGCTCGGTGCGTCTCCCTACGCCAGCTGTGATAGACTGCTAGGACATGTACCGAAGATCAGCACTGGAGGTGAGGAAAAGAAGGTGGGGGGAGAGTCAGCGCACAATGGGGAGTGATTGAGGCGTGACATGGAGGTAATGGTGTTTTCACAGACATGGCCGCTGATATCACCATCATACCCCCATTTTAGGTCTGCCGCTGACAAACATCCATTTTGGTAGACTCCTTGTACAGCTTCAGGTAGACAGAGGCTGATTGAAACCTCAGTTTTCTCTCAACAATGCCATGACTAGCACCTTGACAGCAACCAAAAGATATGGTCTATGAACAAACATTGTGCAAACTCATGCGCCACAAAGAAACCTTTTACCATAGAACCCTGATTTTTCAATGAGCGTTACAGCATCCATTACAACACAAAAGCTACCATAAAGTGGAAAGATGTATCTGTCAATTGTTCACCTGCCTCATTCATTTTTTTCTTATAAAATAAATCTCAGTAGAAAGCACTACCATCCAGTAAAAGCCCCAGCTACCTCTGCTGTGTGTTGGCATCTCCTTTGAGAGGTAACCATGATCTACATGAATTAATACCGTGGCTAGGCACCTGTTAATCCAGTGCTAAGCTGTCGCCGGCAAACAAATGAGAAGTGTAAAGCCTGTCACAAGCTAAAAGGTTGGTGACATGGGCCTGTGCCTACTCTCCCTTGAGGCCATTATGTAACCTTGTTCCTGTTCGCTGCCGCTGGAAAGGAAGAAGCTCTTCATAGCATCCCCTTGCTCTATTTTTCATGGATCAATGCCATGTTAATAATTTGGTGGCTGACTGAAAGCCTTAACTGTTCTTGAGAACACCCATGTCCACAGGGCTGAGGGGGCAGACTGTTACATGACTAGAAGTATATATTTTTTAATGGATAGACATAAATGGAAATTGGAAGCATTCAACAATGTGGGTGGTACAAATGTAGAAAAAGAAATGTTACTCTTGCTGCTACTGTATACTATCTTTTTACAACATTTTGGCCCATTCCGAGGATTTTTATAACAACCATTTAAATAAAGTGGTCAGTAATCAATAAATCATGTCGTTTTAGGTGATTATCCTAAAATGCCATTACCACACTGGAGCAGTCACGTTGCACTTGATCTTTTTTTATTGTATCCCACAAAAATGTCAGTGACCTATGATTAACCTTGATTAACGATTAAACTGTTAACTCACAGTAGATGTATACATTTAGGATTAAGACCATAACCAGAGTATTGTGTCATATCATACCAAAAATGTTTTAGGTCTGGTAGTGAACTGAAAAACAAAAAAAACAAAACAACATTAAACCTCCAAGCACACCTCTATTATAGCGGGAATAGGGAAACTGATATGCTTTGCCGCACTACGCAAAAGGTGCTGTGGTCAGAACGGAAGAGAAGCTGGATGTCGGACAAAAGGTAGGCTAAAGGGTGCTTGACCTTCTCCCTGATTAACCAAAAACTCAAATGGGAATGGGCTTCTTAATTGAAAACTAATTGAAAGTTGGGAAAAGCTCATTCTTAAATAGAATGGTCAGTAAAAAGAACAGGACATTTTAACAAAATCCTGAAATGATACAGAAAGTGAAACTTTTTAAAAGACTGTGTAACTAAATTGACCTTGCATATATTACGTTCCCTGTTTCATTTGTTGGGTTGAATCAGCAGTTAATTAAAAGCTTCTGCTCTGCGGGGTAGAGTGAACTTTAAGTACCTGTTGCAGGGCCAGACTATAAATTGAGTGGACTGTGTGACTGAGGACTGGGGCTAATGACATCATATTTTTCTATCGTCATGCTGAACTCCGAGCGTCTTGCGGATCTGCATTCATTACAAGTTTGTTTGATATTGGCTTAACTCACAGCCAAACATTGCATTTAAATACATTTCTCGAATAGATCAGAGTCGGGGTTTCATTCACAATGGCCAAAACATTTCAAGTCATCAGGATTCCACCATAGACTAGAGTTTGATCTGCCAAGCCATTAAAGAGCATGAATCAAAGAGTGGAGAGAAGAACATTAATAAACCCACTTTCAGTTGGAACCTCTATTCGGCAGAGACACCAGTCCAAGACGGCTCGGTTTTCACAATTATACTGACTGACATATTCAATTTCATTTGCATGAAAAGGGCCATTTCCTCTCTGAATCTTTAACTTGCAGGGTGAGGTGGGGTTGTGAAGGGCGATAATTAATCCTAACACATTGGGTGGCAGTCTGCAAATACCCTGCTCCATTTGGACATACGGGTGGAAGAAAGGAGCATTTAAAGATGCCATTAACCTCATTCGACATCTTTAAGCTTTAAGCAGCATTTCAGTTCTGCGATATTGATGAATTGTCACAATGGCAGCAAGTAGTGCAAATTGGACTGAAACGGGTAGCTAATGTCGGGAGAGAGTAAAAGTGATGCATGTAGTATATGTGCCTTGGACATTTGACTTTATGTAATCCTTTAAGTATTCTCAAAGTCCATTGCAAGTGGAGAGGGAGGGATTTGTTTGTGACTGTGAATGCAGTAGCATATTTGTGGTTTATAAAGCAACACCCTCTATGGATTAATTAACTGTCTATACAGCGTTCGGAAATATATGACCCCATGCCCAGAAGAAAACATACTGTA